GGGTGTGTTCAGGCATATGGCTAAGCAATTCCTAGATATCCACCAAAATGCACACTGTGTTTTACCTACTATAATATAACATTAAGAAGAGTTCTGCTTCATTTTTAAGAAAGTTGGCTCTGACTTTTTATAATAGTTAGACATCGTGAGGCTCTTCCAATCCAGTCTAACAAATCAGAAAATTCACTCCTCCCTCAAGTCATCAGCCAGAAAATAACTGTATTATTAATAGCTCCCGTCTGTGGAAACCCAAATGTGAAGAGTGCTACCTCATGGTTGAACAGTGCAAAGCTTGCACACTGTTCAGCCTTACAGATAAGAAAGTAGAAATTAAATCTTAGTTGTATTTCAGAATAGTGAGTAACTTTGAAAAGATCACTTCTCAAATTTGGGACTTTGTGTCCTCCTCTAAAAAGGTCATACTAGCTGACCTCTTGAAATGACAGGTCAGCAGTGACAAGATGGCTTACAAAAGGAACGTGGCACTCAGTGCTTAATCTTGCTCCAGACTCTGTAGGCTGAGGAAGGAAGAAGGCAAGGCAAGTGCGAGCTGAATTTGGGCAACTTCATTCCTAATTAAGACTCTGCCTTGAAAAAAATAGAAAGACCCTGTATTTGATCCCCACTACTGCAAAAAATAAAATAAACTGCCTGCTGCTGTTTTCTGTTTATGCCTTTGAGTGAAATTTAAGTGTCTCTTCACAGTCAAGCTAACAGTCCCTACACCCCAAGGTTAGGAAAATCTCCCCTTTCAAGCATAAACTTCCTTCAGAAATATTTTTTTAAAAGAAGAGCTTGCAAAGTGCAAGCAGCTCCATGGCGGCCCCGCTCTGTGCCCTGGATTGTAGCTGTATCCTCCTCTCCCTCAAAGCCCATCCAGTGTTCTTGTGAATCCACAAGAGGCAGCCTCGGTCATTGTCATGAATTTTTGTTCTAAAAAGTTCCTCCATGGCAAGACTGCTCCCCATTGCTGGGCATTCAGTGTGCTTGGCTCTCACTCACTAAGTGCTGAAAATAACCCCCTGATCCTGTGACAGTCAAAGCATCAGCACCCCTGTCCCTTTCTAGGCTCCTCTGTGGGCAGTGGCACTTCCTATTGAGAAACCAGGTTAAACAGCATCAATTTTAACTCTAGCCCTGGAAAGTTGCTTCTGAAACATGTCTTTGTGTCTTTGCCAGAAGTGAAGGCCAAGCACAAACCTCTTTCAACAGAGAGGGCAAAAGAGTACACAGTATTTTGAGTCCATTGCTCATAGTTTCTCAGAACAACTGAGCTCCCCACCTTTATAACAGCTGGGGATGCTGAAATCACACAAGTTTCCTAAGGTCACTCATTAAATAATAGGCTACATTGACTCTAAAAATAAAATCCTTAAGAAGCAAGTATCTCAGTCCAGCTTAGCATATGCATCATGATATAATTGTTCATTTATTGATTACTTGCGATGTACCAGTACTTTGCAAATCCCATTTATCCTTTCAACAGCTACAGAAAGAAGTATCTGTAGCCCTCACACATATTAGAAAAACGTTACTTAAAGAAATGAAGTACTTTGACCAAGCTCTCACTGCTAAAGTGGCCAAGCTATGGGTCAAACTGAAGTTTGTGGAGCTGATAGGCTCATGTTCATGAATGTTCAGTGTGTGGCCAATAGCCCTGGTGTTTTTCAGTCTGCATTCCTTTCAAGTAGCAGGAAGGTTGACTGCAACCCCTAACTTACAACCTCACTGATGGGAGTGACTCTAAAAACAATTATTTTTCACTGTGTTCTGCAAGAGATGTTATTTCTCATTATTGCTGGGACAACTCTCAGCAGGGTCACCTCATTAGCTGAAGAAAATGTTCCCTGTTGTTCTGCAAGACATGGATCAGATGGACAGGCATAAAAACAAACACTGGAAAGTGATTCTCATTTAGGGGATGGAACAGTAATCCCTTTCTTCTCTGAATCCCAGCCTTCTAAGTGATGTTTTACTTCTGTAGTTGCACAAGTGTTTTGAAAGAGATGGAAAAAGTTTTATAGGGTCGCCTTCCAAAACTCTTTATCAGTGTTTCCATAACAGAGTAAATTGGTGTGTTGAGCTATTAGTGAGCACACTTAATACCAGTCTGTTTTAAATTTTCCCATGTAGGAAAATAACAGTTTGGCTGGATTGGCCCTAATTGGCTATGAGGGATAACCAATAATGAGATTTTTTTGGTGTGTTTTTACTTTAGAACAACCTCAAATGTAAACACTTCATCAAGTATATTGATATACTCATTATTGGAGTTCTCCCAAACCAGAAGTCATGTATAAGATTGTACTTTGCTTGTTTTGAAATTTATTTTCTATGTTTTGAAAAGTGATTTTTTATTAAAGGGCCAGGAGTTTAGCTCAGCAGCATAAGCACCTGCCTGGCAAGTGTGAGGTCATGAGTTTGAACCGTATACTGCCCTCTCCCAAAGTGACTTTTTTCCCTCAAAATTAGATTCAGTCACAGAACTAGCATCTTATTGGAATAGAATCAGAACTCTGCATTATGAGCCATCGGGCCTACAAAATCTGGGGGATACCAACCTCCCTAACCCCACTTTCCCCCACATGTCCTGCTCTTCCCACTCTGATCTTAATTGAGGACCTCAACACGTCCAGTCCCTCTTCCTGGATTGTTTCTGTCTACTGATCTTTACTTAGGCAATTCCTTCTTATCGTAGATGCTCAGCTCAAATTTACCTGAAAGTAAACTCTTCCCTAGTTCTGTGGGTTGGCCATCCCCATATCTCCAATCATACTACCTTTTAAAATTTATTTTTAAAAGGACTTCTTGAGTATTTCAAATTACATATTACTTTGTTTACTGAATTACTTTGTGTGAAAGTACAATGTGAGCGCCTTGCATGCATCTCCTATGTCTAGAGCAGAGCCTAGAATCTAATCAGACTCAAGGATATTGGTTGAATGAATGAGAAAGTGAATTCCGATTCTGTGGCTCTTAATTAAGTATGTCTCAGAAAAACATCAAAGGCATAAATATATTTATTGGATAATCTATGAGAAAGTAGAAATTAAAATTAAATTTACAAAATTCCTTTCCATTATTGTTTCCTCTGCATGTCAAGAACAGGACTTCTGTAATGAGCAAGAAATTTCAGGCCAGGTCACTTATCTCTGGACATAAGCATCTCCTTTTCTAAGCTTCAGCTCTTCTGCATATTCACCTAGGTCCAGGTCCTTACCAAGATTTTCCAGATGAACATCAGAACATTTCCAAATATCCCATTGCTCTGTTCCCCTTCTCTCTGTCTTTCTCTGTGTGTCTCTCTCTGTGCCTGTCTCTGTCTGTCTGTCTGTCTCTGTCTCTCTGTCTCTCTCCCCTCACCCATGAAAATAAGTCTTTGACATTTCTCTACTTCACATTGCCATTTCCAAAGGGTGACACCCTTATGTGCTCTCCCACTAACAGTGAACTCGTTCATCATAAATCTTTGGGTTTCTAAACTAAAGCCTGTATTTGTCCCAGATGTCCTTTTACACTAAGTTCACAGAATACAAATGGAAAAAGGTTATTACCAGGCAGAGATGTTTAAAAATGAAAATCAGACCTAATACATGGACTCAGACAACCAGGATAAGGAATATAATATTTATAAAACTGAGTCGAAGGTTGCAATCCTTACTCTAAAATAAAGCATTAAAAATTAATTCAGAGCAAACCTATCTGTGCTACAGCAAATCTCTCTTTCATTAAAGTAGCACTGTGCATCTCCTCAGAATTAGTTCCCCAAATAGATAAATAGCTTGTAAGGACCCAGTGTTCTGCAGACTGTAAAACAGCTACCTAGGCGTGATTCAGAGTTGCTTTTAGTGGAAAAGGTTTAAAGACCTTACTTTTGAACCAATTAATTGTAATTTTTGCAGTCTCTCTATTTTTTTGCCCTTGAGTGTTATTAGAATGTTTGCTTTATGTTCTTCCACATTTGATTACTCCAAACGGTGCTATATTATTTGATTAACTCATATGCTGCAGAATATTAAACTCTGTGGAACTGTGAGTGCCAGGTATTAGTTATATTTGAAATGTGCTCTCAGACTTTTTATTCCAAAAATTTTGTTTTACCCTTTTTAAGTGTTTTCTGTCTTCATCCTTATTGTATTACTGTCATTATTAGTGTTTTGTTACCATTATATTAGTTTGCTACTTCAAAATACACTAACAAGAAAACTTATAATGCCCCTTCTTTGTTTTCACTTGAGATAAGGTTGTTATTTTTGTCCAGTTTAGAGCATTTGTCTGAATCCCTAAAATAAATAACCTCATACCCTCTAGACCTTATTGATTTTCCAATGATTTTGAATAAAAAACATCCCATTTCCTTTGCATTGACAAACTGCTTGGTCCCTGGACAATCCTTATTGGATTCCTATGATATGAAAGGGACAAGAAATGACAGAAAATCCAAAAAGTGGATTTGAACAGGTTGGAGTGGGAAGAGGTGGTCACAGCTCAGTGCAGTAAATGAGTATTTAACCTTTGACCAATGACCCAATGATGACAGATCTTTTTTATTTCTATTAGACTAAGAGCAAGCTGTTATGATTAAATAAGAAAGAAAAAACTTTTTAGAACCTTGCAGAGTATGTCCTGGGAATTAAAGCATATGGCAAGGATAAGGAAAAAAGATTTTCCTTATGCTAATGACCCTTGATGCCTGAAATAAATTAGATCCATTAGAGTTTATGCTCAATAAAAGAAAGACTTTAAGCACTCCAAAGTTAGTGACTCGAGACCAGTTTTTGCTCTGAAATTCAATCTGCCTACTTATTAATTCTTAGTGAGGCTGCAGTGCAGACAGAGATGCAAAAAAAATCATAATTCTGTTCTGAACCAGAATTTTAAAGGGCCACAGGTTTCTTTCCCTTTTCTTTTAATTAAACCATTTTTCATGCTTCCCTTTTTGTTTCCTGCATTAATTTGATTTTGTTCCCATTTTTGTTTCATTTTTTTTTCTTTTCAAGGTTTCATTTATCCTATTTCAACTGAACAGAGAACCCAGAATGAATATGGATTTTCTTGTAAGTTTGATGTCTGGATTTTATGTTGCTGAATAATCATTTAACATTATTGCCCCAGTTCCATTTTGCCTTTCTTTGGATCACAGATGTGTACACAGAAAATAGGAGCCTAATATATTCTAACATGAAAAACAAATTAGATTTCCAATGCTGGAGAGAAGAAAGGGTCACTCCGAGTCTCTGCCAGCTTTCCAACCTATCAGCCTACTATTTAAAGCTTTAGCCCAGAAACTGAGAAAACATTCACGAAATTTGCTGATTGAAATAAAGGGCAGGATTCCAATGCTCAAAAGGAAAAGATTGAGAAAATGCATATCTCTTGTGCTAGAAATCATGAATGTTGAATAAGTAATTCTGTCCTGCTGAAGTAAAACATTAAGAATTTACACAGAGTGATCTAACCAGAATTTAGAATTCTGTGGCCCCAAATAAAACCCAACAATAGCAAAGGGAGTCCACATTTGCAAAGCCATATCACACAACAAAGAGTGTTGGGATGTCACTATTTTCTGGAGAAAGCAAATCATCAGTATTGACTTGATTAATGGGAAAGTAGATATTTGGGAAACTTTGGGAAGGAAAATATTTTTAAAAGAAGCAGTATCCTTTCACAGTACATTAAAACACAATATGGAAACAGAGATGGAGCAATCTCTAACAGAGAATTCATCTATACTTCCAGCCTGTGGAAGCCCCCATGACCAGACTGTGGGTTATCACATATGCCACTGGCAAATGAAATGATAAATTATTTCCTCAAACTATGTGACTGTGAGTCTGAAGTGAAAGCATGGGTTCCTCGCATTTTAGAAGACGGGAATTATACATTTGAAAATTCGTACACAAAAATGTCTATTAGATAAAATGGAACATAAAATCTGAGGTAGTTCTTGACCACTTGAAGAACCAAAGTGACCCTTTTTTTGCAGTGAGCAAAGTAGCTTGGTTATCTTTGCCAAAGTCTTCTGTGGATCAGAGAATATGGTAGACAGAGATTTAATACTGGCAAAGTGGTTCTTCAAGGATTTAATTTTGTTGCTGATATTTCAATTATCAGCTCTTTTCCCTTTTCTGGTTGGATCAAAACATGCTCTGTGCCACCAAGGAAACAGACAACATTTATAGAAACTGTTTACTCCTGTTACCCAGAAGTAGGCCCCAGTGGATTGCACCCTGTGCTGGTCAAAGGTTACGTGGCTTCTGGGATAATCCGATCTTTTGGTCACTGATCCAGGCCTGTATCTGCTACAGAGTACTCTAGAGCTATGTGTATTCCAGGAATGAGAAGCTCAAGTATAACTCTTGCAAGAGCCCATGCGAAGTTCAAGGTCCATAGAGGTATTCCTGTGTCTGCGCCAAAAATCTGGACTTAGAGAACTTCATGGCCTTAACCTCTGTCCCCTCCCCAACCTGGGCCATCTGAAACCATACCTTTCTAGTCCAGTGCTTGCTGCTAATACTTGCTTTGCTTAGTTACACCACTCCCACCCAGCCCTGCACTGAGTTCGGAGAAAGTAAGAAGAGAGGTAGGGAAAATAATTGTATTACCTGGAATGATACTTACGAAAATATTCTGATTCACTAAATACACGGGCTCAAAACATGCTGTGTATTGCTAACAGTGTTTATGTTTTTAAAATAACTATCAGTGAGTTTAAAAACCCTTCCAAACTTTTTCACCTGAAAAGAGTAATAAACTTTTCCTTGTACCTTGGGAAGCTTTTAGCTCTGGTTTCTTTATATGCTAGTAATAAATGGTCTGTTATGCTGCCCAATTATAAGATAGATTAGTGGGTGGACTGATGCAGAGTGAGAAAGAAAAAGAAATCAGAGATAATTTTCCACTGAAAGGCCACAGTGATTTTATATTGCTTTTGAAATAGATTTGAAATTAACCTATAAAAAGGCAATAAATGTCTGAAAAAATTATAGCAATACATATGTGCACTGTGGGAAATTTCTATAAGTAGTTGGTCCAATGTTTCTTTCTTCCCCTCCAGCTGCTCCTGATTCAGATGATGTGGCCCTCTATGTCGGGATCGTGATCGCAGTGATCGTGTGCCTGGCCATCTCTGTCATTGTGGCCCTGTTTGTGTATCGCAAGAATCACCGGGACTTTGAGTCCGATATTATCGACTCTTCAGCGCTCAATGGGGGCTTCCAGCCTGTGAACATCAAGGCAGCCAGACAAGGTCAGTAGACATTCCACTGTACAGACGGCTCCTGGTATGAGCACTTGCCCTGTGTGGCTTCAAAATTGGTGGCATTTGGGTCAGCTGGTTCAGCTAGAATGCAAGCTCCATGAAGACAGCAATTTTCATTCACTTCACTGGTTACTGGCTTGTTACCAGTCCACATAACAAATTGGAGCAGACCAGCTGTGCAAATTACCTTTTTCTTTCTGATCCACTACCTAACCTGAAAATCAAAGTGTCGTACTTTGTATTCTGTCTTTTAAAAATATATTGATTCTTTGACTGACTTCCTACTTTTTTTTCTCCTCCCAACCCTGCCACCTTCTTGTCTTGTATTGCTTTGAATGCGGTGGTTTACAGATGAACCCAAATCCAGTGCAGACAAGGGAAAGTCTTACCAAACAGCGACCTCCTTATGAGGCTTATTGTCCAGTCCTCTCTGCTGAAATAGCCAGATGCCATCAATGTGTTGAGAAGCTTCTAAGCCAGACACAGAATGAGCTGGACCACTTGAACTTTGCCCATAGTAAAGCCACATGCTGGTCACCTGTCTGCCTTGTTTTCAGCAGAGCCTCAGCACCTCTACGTCTCCAGTATTAGCTGAGTGCCTTGCTTTGGTTCAGTGTGGACAGGGAGTCTGACTAACGCAGGTTGCCCCAGTAGAGAATGCGAATGGAATTCTTTTCTCTTTCTGACTCAGATCTCCTGGCCGTGCCCCCAGACCTGACGTCAGCAGCAGCCGTGTACAGAGGACCTGTCTACGCCCTGCATGATGTCTCAGACAAGATTCCAATGACCAACTCTCCAATTCTCGATCCACTGCCTAACCTGAAAATCAAAGTGTACAACACCTCGGGTGCAGTCACTCCCCAAGATGACCTCTCTGAGTTTACATCCAAGCTGTCTCCCCAGATGACACAATCCTTGCTGGAGAACGAGGCTCTCAACCTGAAGAATCAGAGTCTTGCCAGGCAAACAGATCCATCTTGTACAGCATTTGGTACCTTCAACTCCCTCGGGGGTCATCTCATCATCCCCAGCTCAGGTAATCACAGTGGTTTACATGGCAAAGACACAGCCTGAAACTGTACTCTTGGTGCCCAGTCTTTCTTGCTTTCATTAGACCTAAACAGGTAGATGTAGCCTAAGCCAAATGTGCTTTCGACATATATCAAATACTGTGTCAGAAAAAAGCAATGAAACATTTATCTTCCCCCACCAATTCTGCAAACACTTCCTCTAAAAATATTTTACAAATTTCTGCTGAGTTGTAGTTTCGAACTCTCACTGACCTTCTTTTTAGTGGAACTTTAGAAGACAAAAGCAAGCCAGGAGCCCTGGCTGCTGTCCCTATACTTTAAAAGGACAGTTAATTAGGAAACACAACAATTGGCCCAGGTTCAGTTTACTAAAGGAAGAAAAACTTCAGAATACTAATTTTCAGATAATCAGAGACATCATATCTTTATTCATTAACTGTTCATTGCATAGCCTTTATCCATAAGGTACTTATAAAATATTCACTCAGATCTCTGATATATCCACCTACAGTCCCCACATCATAGATGTCATTTTGAGATATTATTTAGTTTGTAGCTTGGTAGTTAATTTTACTTGCATCTAGAGAAAAAAGTCACATAAAAGTCTTTAATGGTGACTTCATTTAGTGACTGAACATTGGATTAAAGATTGACCATCATTAATCAATAGTAGCAATGGGTTTGCAACTATGGGTCTCTAGAGGGCTAATAACTTCCTCTCTGAATCTACCTGAATTCTGTTGGGCAAGGCTGTGAATTTTAAATACAGCAACAGCACCTTCATCAACCTAATGTGTTAATGTAATAAATAAAAAATACAGTGAAGTAACACAGGGACCCACAAGTCTTCAGGCTGGACACGAAGCCATCTTTGGTTCTTCCTGCTCAGAGCCTCGTTTCAGTGTCTGGGAACCATTGCACCCCATATGCTTATGCAGACACGTTAGTACAAGTGGAAGATTAAATAGAATTGTACTTCTCCTTTTTTATACATTTTGACACAGATAACATTGTAAATAAAATACTTTTGTCACCTTTTTCTCCTTCTCATGCTATGCTATTTGCATGTTTTTAAAACCATGATATACATGTACATAGTAGTCCATCAAATGACTACATCAAAACATAAATCTATTGCTCTTTACATTAAACATGGCAATTATGCCTGACAGTCCTTTCCCCTGTGTACTCAGCGTATTCTGCTTTTCCCTTCCCTTTCCTACACCTGCCACTTTTTTGTATGTGACATTACAAAGGTTTCTTAAGTGAAAGGCAGGCAACATGTTTTAAAAGTTTAATATGTAAGAATATAGGTGATTAACTTATACCCTGTCATTTATCAGAGTAACGAGAGTTGCCAGTATATGCCAAGCATTATTCTTTGTGTACCTGTGATTTTTTTCATCCCTTAACAAAGATGAAGGGACATTTCCTGATCCCACCACTGTGGGAAAAGCACCCGCTGAGTCATGGCAGTCTCATGCAGGTCTCCCAGTCCCACTGTGAGTCTCCCACAAACCATCCTGGAGTCTCCCACAACCATCTCTTCTCCATAGCACCACAGCCCTCAGGTTACTTTCCTTCTCCAAAGACCAGGCCTCCACTTCGTCCAGCAGCTCCATGAAGACCTTGGAGCAGTTCCTCCCCCTTCTTCTCATTTCTCCATTCTGGAGACCTCTTGACATAGTCAGGTGTTCTTGCTGCCTCCTGCTCTCTTGGCATATTTCATTTCCTTGCTGATTGAGTTACACGTTTCTCAGGACGGGAATATTATCTTTTACTCCTTGGAATGCATGGCAGTGTCAAACACTGCTCACAGAGATGCTTCAGTTTTGTATTACACTGGATTGAACTGAATTTTATAAGAATAAAATGAGGAGCAAACATTTTCAAAGTGTGGACCACCTTGAGTCACTCTTAGAATGGTGAGCATTCATGTGTGCCAATGGTTCTTACAGGGTGGGTCCCAAACCTTTTTGGGCATCACTTGGCAACTTATCAAGACAATAAATTCCCCCACTCACCCCTAGATCTTCTAAATCAGAGAGGCTGGCTGGGTGAGACTTCAGAAGGCCTCCAGGTGATCCTGATGAAAGCCCAGATTTTCAAAGGTTGCTGTTAGGCAGCATTAGTATACAATGCAGCTCACTCCCTTTGCCCTCCTGAAGAGCACTGCCTAGAGACTAAGTAGGAACCAGCTCCAGCTCCACTCTCAGCTGTGTACTTCCTAGAGGCCTGGGTTATATAAAGGCGCCTCCCCAGCTCACAGTCTTATTGTGGAATAACCAGGTATTTCAGAAATAAATATTTGGTGTTTTGTTTTTTTGATAGACTGAACTTAGCATTTCCCTAAACTCTGAATCATGTGAGCATTTTTTTTAAAATGAGAAACAATGCATCATTATAACTGTTTGAAATTTCAATAGAGTTTTTGGTTTTCCCCTTGTTTTACAAGGAAAACAACAGTGGAACCATCTGTCTGGTTCTTAAATAAAACAAGAGTTTTAAAAAATTACTTCATTCCTTTAAGTAGTTCCATAACAGTTCAGAGGGAACTGTGGTGTCAAATAAGGCCTATGAGGAAGGAAGGCAGGGCAGCTATGAATATGTGCATGTCTTTAGAGAAAACAAAGCAGGTGCAGGGTTACAGACTCATAAAATATCATCTCATTCCCTTCAGTTGTTGCAAAGGCATTCCACAAGTTTCCTTTTGATTGATAGGTCTTATAAGACTGCTTTTTTCTTTGCTCTTCAGGAGTGAGCTTGCTGATTCCTGCAGGTGCCATTCCCCAAGGGAGAGTCTATGAAATGTATTTGACTGTACACAGGAAAGAAAATATGAGGTAAATATGCTTTCTTGGATGCACTTGACTTTCTAAATGTCTAACTTGGAGGAAAATTGTATAATAGAAATAAGAACATATTTTTGAAATATGCTGTGAGTGACATACATTTTTCCCCGTAAGGCATATAAAAGGTCAAGTTTTATTTTTCTTTATCTTTGACACTTTAGAAACTTTTGCAGATATTCAGCATGGATAGAATGACAAAGATCCCATCCCCAAATAGACATGTGGCCAATTTAGGAAGCAAAAAATGGCCCAAATCTACAGATTGTCTAGAGAGGTAAGTAAGTCAACACCAACATGGACTACCTGTGGCCAGGGCTCAAGAATTCAACCTATTCCCATTGCAGGGTTAAAGGTCACAAAGGATTGGACCAGCTTAACCCCTGCTGCTCCTCCTTCTTCCCATCATAGATTCCTCCTTTTGTGACTCTTCCTGCAGAAGTGTTGCCAACTTCCTGCTTATGTTTAACACTTGCCAGTTGCATAGTGAGGTCTTTCCAAATTGGTCTAGGGTTGATTAAAACTAGGTCAACTCAAAAGGCTCTGTTTCAAAAGTGTCAGAATCATAAAAATGAAGTTATTTTAAGTTAAAAAATCTTGCATTCAATTTTCAGTTTGGTCTCTGATAAATCATAGGCTTCTTTCCTGATTAGTTGCCACAAGTGTGCACTCCCACACTGCTTCAGAAGCCTGACTGATAAATGCTTTAAATAAATGATGCTGTGGACATGGAGATCCTCTCCCAGTACTAATCCTTGCCTTCCCCGAAGTGAAAGGTATCGCTCCTTCTCCCAGAGCACAGAGCCCAAAGCATGAGGGACAAATGCAGAACTGGGCTATCATTAGCATGCGATATTCCTTTTCCCTATCCTGCTCTCACCCTCAGAAAAGCATCCATTTTTAGTTGTGCTCATCAGAGCTGAAAAGCTTTTATCATGCTCTCTGGTGGAGATGTTGGTATTTATAATAGGTGTGACCCAGAACATTTTTTCTGTAGGTGGTGCACTTTCACCTATACAAACAATAGCCAGACTAAGAGAATATTAAAATTCCTTAAGCATTATTCATGCCTTAAGCTTGAGCAATACAGAATCACTAAGAGCTCTGTATTTACCCATATCAAATACTCATTTTTTTTTATTCTCAATGCAAAACAACTTACATAGCCCTCAGAATACCTTTCTTTTGCAGCAGAGGAAAGATTAGCAGACTTCAAGACTTCTTTATTTTACTTTCCTTGTCCAGAATCAGGTTAACATTAAATCCATCCATTCATCGACCAAGGCCTTGCCAAATGGACGTTCAGTTTAAATAGAAGCGAGTGTTGCCTTGAGCTTTTCATGGGACAGGGAGGTGCTCGTGGTCTCCTGCTTTCCCAAGTGATGGGACAGGCAGCTACAGACAAAGCCTTCAGAGGTTGCAGGTCGAGAAGGACCTCCACACACACACAGAGTAGTTGGCTCCCTAACCAGGATAATCATATGTTTCAGATAAAGGAGAGAAAAACACAAAAATTGATAAAGCTAGACACTTCAGCTTTCAGGTTCCACTGCCTTTGACTAGAATGCAAAGGAAATGATAAATCACTCCTTCCTCTGCCAACCACCTGAAGCCAGGTGCTCAGGGAGTTGCTATATTGAATTTGGTGTGCATCAAAGAACTTCTGTTTATAAACCTGAAAGTGGAGAAAGCTCAGACTCTCCAAAGGAAATATGCACCCGAGACCGTAACACAGGAAGAAACACAAAAAGACAACAGACTCGATAAATGAGAGGTCCTGTCTCCACTCATTTCCCATTGTGAGCTAGGTACGTTTTTTCTCATAAAAGCACAAAGGCAAGAATATGCTCTACAATTTGATAATATATAAATATATTTAATATATAATAGTAAAAACTATGGCCATTTAGCATATTCTTAATTTCATTTATTCCTCAGTGTACCTCTGGAAGTAATAAGGGAGCTGAAGCTCTTCTTTAATAGTAAAGAAAGGAAATTAATGCACACAGATTAGTCACAAGGAAATTAATGCACACAGTCAGGATTTTGCAGCTAATAACTGAGGGAGGCAGAATTCAAACTGAGGTCCACCTGACTCCAAGGCTTCTCTACGTGGTGACATGCCATCCCAAGCTCCTGCCCTCTCACTATTCTTTGTTTTGGACACAGCACTTTGTTGCTCATTGAAACCCCTTCCAGTCTTCACAGGACAGGAGATGACAGAACTATCCTAGAAGAAGACAGGGTGAGCACGTCAAGAGATGCGGGTGTTACAAGGCATATGTAGGCAAATTCTGACCAGTTTCTTCCTCTATGATCCTTTTTATTATTGTGTCCAAAACTTGGTGTGTTTCCAGCTGGATGACATCCAGCTTGTCATCTGCTGATGTGACTCATCTGAAAGGAGGCGTGAATTTAATTACACATGGCATCATGAACGTGACAAATGAGGCCTCCTCTTTCCTTGATAGGCTCTTTGAGAAAACCCCAAGTGGTGCATGAGTAGCCTGGCTAAGCCTGAGGTAGGACTGATGCTCCTCACTGGAGAATTTCTTGACCTACCTTTCCATGCAGGTTTGAAGTGTGATAAAAAACTAGAACAGAACAGGACAAGGCAGAAAGTAAAGACCATGTGCACATACACAGTGACTAACCTAGAGTGGCTACTCAGTGACTGTTTTTGAATGAAAGAATGAGTATTTGTAGTGATAAATGAATCAACCCCAGTATAAGGCTATCTCCAAACTCAAAGGTAAAGAGATTTCCAAGATGGAGAAGATAAATGGCAGTGATGATACTAGAAAATATAAAGACAGAGGAATAATAAAAAGTACTGGATTTGTCAATTGTAGGACATCGGTGGCCTTCAGGAAATTTTTATTGGTGAAATTCTTGTAAGTTATAAGTTAGTGATAACATAAAACTATAGTACAGATCTACTAAATAGAAATAGTAAAGCATGTGTTAGGGCAACTTAGAAGGTTAAAATGTTCTTAGATACATAACTATACAGGAGATGTTTTTGTTTAACATTATTGTTTGGAATTTTGCAAAATAGTAGTTGACATTTCTCAGTGAAGCTCAGAGATAGCTCCTCTTTTAAGTAGAGATTCCTTTATCATTCATGAGTCCTCAATTTGAAGAAATCACTACCAAAAAAAAAAAAAAAACCAAAGAGAAAGGCAGTGGAGTTCAGGTGTATATATGTAAATCTCATTCTCTCCAGATTCTAAGCCCTCTTTAGAAGTAGGATTTATTGAAAGCCAACTTACAAAGAAGTGCTTCAGAATGGTTTATAAAAACACATTCTTTTCAATTGAAAGGAAAAATTTAAAGTTGTTTGAAAGAGAAAATGGAAAAAAAATTTTATAAAAGATAACATAAAGTCAGGTGAATGGTTAGAATGTGAATGTTTGATGTGATTCCCAGCACATCTGCTGGCAATAGATCATGAATTTACTCTTTCAAACTGGCAAGAAAAACATAGGAAGTTAGAGGATCCACATTTTTATGAGGGAAAAAAATATGCCCAGAGTACACTCAGTTGTTTTAATTTGCTTCCTCGCGAAGACATTTTGTTAATATAAATTAACAGCAACTTTTAAATAAGAATTGCAATGAGTGTCACCTGTTGGTGTCTCTCAGTGGAATTAGACTGTGTGAGGCCCAAGTGTCTGTTCAGTACAATAGTTCCACAGGGGCCCGGCTCCATTCTGGCCACAGCACAGTGCTCAGCTGTTCGGCTCAGGCCAGGACAGACTTTGTCTGTCTGGGGAAACGGTGGCATGCCCTTTAGAGTGGCTTCCATAAGTTTTTTTTTTTTTTTTTTTTTTCTCAATTGAGCTTCTGATAGCCAGTGAGTTAGATAGTCCCTGTCAAGTTCCTAGAATGCAAATATTTCAAGTTGCCAGTTATATGGGATGGCATGTGATTTAAAAGGCAGCTGAGCCTAGGGTAGATTGTCATCCTGGGGGACCTGACAGGAGACACATGCATCTGCAGAAGGCGTCTCGTGTCACAGAAGGCAGCACAGAGCTGGATGGAGACACATTCTTTTCAAAGGGTTTTCTTCTAGCAAAACAGCTATGAAGGTCCTAACCGAACCCCCTGAACAGCCATGTCATGAGAGAAACTAAATGACTTGTGTTTGAAATCCAGCTTTGCTTATGAGTAGCTCTGCATCCTTAAGCAAGCATGTTAGTATCTCCAGATTTTAGTTTCCCTTCTGGGCACGAGGTGATGTAAATGCTCACTCCCACTGCCTTACAGGTGTGCCAGGAGCAACAAATGCAATTCTTACGTGAAATTTTTTAAATTATGAATTTTGGGGTAGAAGTCCCCTCACTGATAACAGCAAACAAAGGATGACAGAATATCTCTGACGGGAAATGAACTCTTTACAGGCTTTGTCCTGTAGGACTCAGCAACTGTCTAGCATTTACCATGGTATTATGCTTGTTGGACTTTGAAAAACCACTAACAGACTGTTTTCTTGGACAGCTTAGATAACATATGAGACATACAGAGAGAAATCTGCAAAAATATGAATCACACTCATTTACTTTGACTATCTTATTTTATATATTTTTAAAAATCCCCTTATATTTAAAAAAAAAAAAAGAAATTTGGATTTAGAAACTCTGACCTTTGATTTCACATAGTTACATACATCTTACCTAAATCTCTCCTTCTATTTATGCTTGGAAATAATTCTAATTTTCTGCTATTTCTCTCATCTTCAAAGCATATAAGAGATTTTTCTGTTATTTGTTTTTCAACCCTGTTAAGAATTCCTCTTCAGCATTTCCCTGTTCATTACATTCTTGCACCTCACTGGGTTCGTACATTCTTTCTGACACTGTCTCCCGCCTCTCTCCCCACTCTCTCCCCTCTCTCCCCACTGGCCTTGCCATGCTTGCTACAAGAAAGGCGCCCATCGATATTCATGCCAGGAGTGAGCATGGAGACTGCAGTCTGACTGTGCCCCCAAAAGCAGGGAGTCTTCTCCCTGCTGCTCCAACTCACTGATGAGAAGAACCCCTCCTCCAGCACTGGCCGCCACCACCAGACTGAGAGACACATGTTTCCAATCCCCAACTAGATTGCAAGGACCACTTGAAATGGATGCCACTTTAGTCTCCTTCCTTAAAAGTTTAATGCTCACTTCTCAAAGTATACTTATGTCTAAAAGGTAATAGTAGTGCTGAGGAAAATGCAATCAATTTTTTCTCTCTCCTAGCAGGAAAAGTAGAATTAGGAAATAATAAAGTTACTCCCTCAGGCAGACAGTGTAATATTAAGTATGACACAATGAAGCCACAACTTTATTCATAGTGAGAGAGAATAAATTTCAGATCTGATAGAAAGAGGACAAACTCGATTAAGGGTAAATGAAAACCAGAGTGGTAAAGGGTCTCAAGTCATGAGGTCTCAAGCTGCTGCTGATAACCTGATGATTCCAAAACAGAAGTACATTTCCAAGCACCTAGATAAATTCACATTTAATAAAGGAAACTCCATTGTTCATTACTGTGAATGGAGATGATATTAAAAGACCAAAAGTAGGGAAAGCTTGCTTGGGTTTCTAAATGGGAAGATGGGTTGGTGAGATACTAATGAAGTTTTAGAGCAGAAAAAAAAAAAAAATGGACCAGTGAGAATGTGGGCCTTTCCAGGAAGATAAACACTAAACTGTACTTCAGTGTTTAGAACTGATCATTGTCCACGAGAAAAGCTTTAAGATTTGACCCAGCTTTGTCAGCTCTCTGCTTAGCTACTGGTTTTGTGGCTACTGACAGAACACATGTCCCTTGGGTCAGAAACAAAGGACAATTTATTAGTTACAGCAGTAGCACTTCCCAAAGAAGCCTCATTTTTGTGGTAGTTTCCCATGGCTGACTTCTCAAAAGGCGACACAAAGAGGGTTCAGAGGATATCTGCGCATTTTAGCAAAGGCTTCTGGCCCTAGGGAACCTGAGTCTTTGTATGTTGAGAAGTCGACTGGCTCTGCTGCTAGTTGCTCCAAAGTTGACACTGACTTTATCTTGCAAGGCAGCTGCTATATAAGAAGCCTTGAATAGACAGTCAAGAACACGCAGCAACATGGGGAATCAGGGAGTGCTAAGGGTAACAGTAGTTGGTGTAAACTAGATTCTAGAGGATGTAATAAATAACAGATAAATTGTAATGACTAAAGAAAACCCATCTGCAAGCAGGCCCTGCAATTATAATAAAGGTGATATATTCTTTATTAATATCCATGTGAATAAAATGGAAAGATGTCGCCTGGACAGCGTACAATGGGTTTATATTTAGTTGAACTAAATAACTCAAGAATACTGATATTAGACGGAAAAGAGGTTTCAAGCAGTGTCCTTGACAAGTCCTATGTCTTTCCCTTACCCTTGCATATGATGTTACCGGTTTTTATAACAGCAGCATAAAAGATCAGCATGTCCAATTTATGGAGGATAACTGCTAGTTGGAGGGAAGACAAGTATTAAGTAATTTGTCCTGGAATTATTAAGGTAAAATTAAAAAGCTAAATATAAATGTGCATACCTAGATTCAAAAACCATCATTACGAGCAGAACCGCCTCGACTTAGCCAATCTTTCACATTCACAGTACTTCAGATGGTTAGCTTTACCAAATGACTTCCTCCTTGCATCTTCCTTGCAGTATTTTATAAAGGAGATATTTAACCATACCATCTACAACTTCTCTAACTGGTGCCTGCTATATAATATTTATAAGTAATGACTTGATTGAGAATAATATCATGCAGCAATTTTGTGAGGCATTGATATACTACATAGTCCAAATCAAAGGAAAAAGTATTCTCCTATGTTGTCTGTTTGCATACTAGGTTTATTTAAGACACCCAAATTTAATTAGGAAACCAAAATAATGAGAAACTGCCACATGAAAATGAATGAACAAATATAGGGAAAGATCTGGAAATCATGCTTTACCAGCTGAGTAGAAAAAGAATTCTCAATGTTCGTTCTGTAATAAAAATTCTAGAGATTTCATAACAATATCCAAATAAACAAAGTGGGCCAGAAAGCGGGTCAAAGATATGTGAACAGAAATTTCAAGGAAGGTAGACTGTGTTCATTCCAGCTGGGGCTACTTTGTAAATTTGAGTGGCTAAGGGGGCGGCTCAGTGTAGTGGGGACTGTAACTGTGGACGTATCTAAGGAGCACTGATCTGCACCTCGTGTGCTGTCCCGAGGCTCTTGCTCTGGATAGAAGCCAGTTCCACGACCCCCTAGGGTCTTCAGCTAAAGCCAGCTCTGCTGAGGGGTAGCTTGGGTAGAGTCCTTGAGAAGATGCAAGTTTTTGTCCAGCACTGACCAGCAGGCAGTTTGCTCAATGCTTTTGAGATGACTTCCTCACTTATCAGTTAAGTGGATAGGCTGGATCCAGCCTAAGTAGTTAGGCTGGATCAATGTATCATTTGATTTTAGTTATTTTCTTTCAGTAAAAAGAATAAAAGCAGTTTTTAAAAATACACAAGAAAATAAATAATTTGGATTTTTGAGGTTCTTTGTGCCCAGATACTCTGAGTATGAAATATGTTAAGTCAAGAGATCTCATTTTTATTTAACGTGTTACAGAAATACAGTTTTATATTCTTTTGGTCATATTTGAAAAAATGAATCTGCTATCCTAGCCTGAATTATTCCCGAAAGTCATTTGGACTAATTTTAGCTCTAGGGTGTCCTCATTCTGAAGTGATTTTTTGAAAGTATTTTTCAGTTAGGTCCTAAAAACACAAAAGTATTTAAAACCCTGTGAGCCCGATGGCAAGTATTATCAGAAAAGCTGGTTATATAACTCCATAAGAACTCTGTTCTTTCTCATTATATCCTGAAAGTATCCTTCATGAATTCAGAGGAAGCTCCAAAGGCAGACCTGTGTCTGAGGGAAGCAGATCAAAGAGATTCATTGTTATCATAGAGACCTCCGGTCCTGCAGGATCAAAGTCTTGGTATAAAGAGCATGTCTTCCCATTTATTTCTGCCTCAGCCCCTGCTCCCCGAAAAGAGCTCCAAGAGAAAATGATTTGAACTGTTTGTACAACTTTAGATCTCTGCTCAGTGAGTACATAATGCGTCAGTGCTATGACATGTCACTGAGATGGTCCCTGCTCTCCACCAGGCCAGCCATGGAAGATGGGCAGACACTGCTGACGCCAGTGGTGAGCTGTGGGCCCCCCGGAGCCCTGCTGACCCGCCCAGTTGTCCTCACCCTGCATCACTGCGCAGACCCCAGCACGGAAGACTGGAAGATCCAGCTCAAGAACCAGGCAGCACAGGGACAGTGGGAGGTAAGAGGTTCTGAGAGTCAGAAGCAACGTCCAGGGGAGCACTCACAGGAGGTCTTCTCTACAGCCAGACCTAGTGGGACTGCCAGGCCCACCTGCTGGGAGAGGCAGGCAGATGGTTTGTTTCCTGAGTGCTCTACCTTGATTGACAGAAACAAAGAAAAAGATGGTCAAGCATGAGCTAACTAAGGGAAAATATTCTCGAAAGTTTCAGCCAAGTCCCTTCTATAATATAGACGCTAATTATTGGGAAGGGGTATTTAGTTAGTTAGTTAGTTAGTTAGTTAGTTAGTTTAATTAGTTACTTTGCTGGTAGAGAAACACTGCAGACAGACAGGAACCAGTTCTTACGATGAACTGGACCTGGGAACTTAACCTGGGAGAACAGAAAGACTCCATCCCTAAAGTGCCACTAAAATAGGCATAGTCAGTGGCACCTTGTCTCTGCATGGCTGTCACCAGGGCTTGTTAAAGGCCATGTCTTAATAAGTTCTGTTCTTTCCATCAGAACTCTTCACTCAATACCTTTATCTCAAATAATAGCAAGTAATTACAAAAACTAGTACAAATGTGAATTTACATTAAAGTTTATACATGTGAAATCTGAAATCATATACAGAGAATGTGTTATATACTTTATAATTACTTTTGATACTTTTAGCAAAGAAATGTCTAAAGAGATACATGAAAACAAATCCATAATACTTTAGGAAAATGTAAAATTTGCAGAGAGTAGCAGGGCACTCTGGGATTAACTAGGTTTTTCTTTCTGTGAAGCTCTATTTCTTTGGCCATATAAGGAGATCATTCCTTGTTGGAGGACCTAAAATCTAGATTATCTTTAAATTAAGACCAGACTTAACCAGATCTCTTAAGCTGTAAACTGTTTGCATTAAAAAAAAAAAGAAGAAGAAGAATCCAAAGCCTTATTTTACGTGACTCTGAAGTGTTTGCAAGATTCTCTGCCTGATACTCTATGTTCTGGGATTGAATAGTAATAAGTACAATGCTATAATAAACTAGATTCAAGTTCTGGGGCATGGGCAGTGCACCCTGTTCTTGGCTGTGTCTTCTTGGAGGCTCCATGACAAGCCATTACTCATGATCCTAAGGTTTGCCTTTGTCCTTCTGGAAAGCTCAACTTCTTTGCAGGTGTCCTTTTGGGGCTGCAGTAAACTCAGAGGTACTGAGCTTCTATTTTTTTCCTCTTCAGTGTGCACTTCCTTTTGGGATATAGCTTCAGTTGAAAACATTTCAATGGTGCTATTAAAATCCTATTATAGCTCAGGTGGTACCATTTATGGCCTAAGGAATACACACCATCTGATGTGGCTACTTCCTCATAACTTTGCCCAGTCCTGAAGACTGCATTTAGGTTGAAACCATCATTCACTTTTTTTCCAAAAAGTTGTTGATGGACACTCACCATGTGTGAGGCCCACAGAGGCGCAGTGGACAGCAGAGAGGACGTGGCTCCTGAGCTTACACAGCCTCTGCAGAGAGTGAATCACGCTCACCACTGTACTCTCTGTGTCCCACATGAATTGTATTTTAAATCTGAAGTAGTTAAAAGTTGGAAGATTTTATGCATAGCCCCGATCTTGCAGCTTCATGGGGAAGTGCAGGGTCCCCTGTGTGTGGGCCGCACACCTCCCCACCTGACAGCTGAGCCTGAGCTCCTCAGACAGGTGAGTCCTCTTCCCCAGGCCCCAGCGCGCCTGTTCACTTGCATCACAGTGTCAGTGCCAGCTCTTCCAGCAGCTCATGAAGCTGGAACTCTGGCCATCGTTTTATAGACTCTTTGCTTGCTCTTTCTGATCATTTATGTTGTGGTTTGAGCCATTTGGATAAATCAAACCTGATCGAATTAGTAACAATTTTTTACCCCTCACTTCCATTTATTTTTATTTTTGCATATGTTTTAAAGTTTAAGAGTAGACTGTTTGACAGATTACATAGGAAAAAAAAAAAAAGAAAAATTCACAGTAAAGACACAGAGCCTGCCATGTCATACCTTTTGTAGAGTTGGCAAGCAAGACTATTTAGGAAGAGCAGTATCCTGCTTTAAGAAGGTAACTGGCTATTGAATTTTGGAAGAACACACTGGTTGAGCATTATATAACACATTAATTTCTTTAATTCTTTTCAGATATGGATTTTTAGGAGGAAGGTACTATTCTATAATAATACCAGAATAAAATATATCTTTTAGATGAAATAAGAAGTGTAGAAATTAAAATCTTAAATCCTCAGAAACAGATAATAAGCTCAGTACATTTTAAAAAAGATAACATAAATGTTTAAGTTTTCATGTAAGTTTTCAGAAGATCAAGAGATACTAAATGACATGGGCATAAAGAATACTGTCAGTATATAGGCAGTGACAGAAAAGGAATTGATGATTTGGGTTGGAAATAGAAGTATTATAAAGTCTGAGAAAAAGATAAGAACAGGAAATAAAGCTCAGGAGAGGAGATCCTGCTCTAGCCAGGCTACCCATGGGGGCCAGTATGTATGCTTGGTAGCTCAGTCCTTGCCCTTGCCCTCTGCTCCCCCAGGATGTGGTGGTGGTCGGAGAGGAAAACTTCACCACACCGTGCTACATTCAGCTGGATGCAGAGGCCTGTCATATCCTCACGGAGAACCTCAGCACCTATGCACTGGTCGGCCAGGCCACCACCAAAGCAGCTGCGAAGCGCCTGAAGCTGGCCCTCTTCGGTCCCCTCTGCTGCTCCTCCCTGGAGTACAGCATCCGAGTCTACTGTCTGGATGATACCCAGGATGCCTTGAAGGTAAGTGGTCCCTGTCTGACACAGCCTTTTTACCTTCACATGGAATGCAGAGTTGGGTGTGGCTGTGCACACCTGGAACACATCTGTGAACATGCACCCAGATGTGAGAACCTGTGTGTGGGCCCCCAGCAGGTGTTGCTTTAAAAAGACATATCTTTGAGGCCATTCTAATCTATGAGCTGTTTCCTTTATGCCAATTCCTCCCAAGGGCTACTTTTGTTTATATTCCTTGATTTCTTTTAATGAAAAATGTAGAACTTGGTGATGAGACCCAAAGATGGTAAATAATCTGCTTCCATGTTTATCTCAGCTGTGTTCTTCCTATAAAAGAAATTGGTGTAATTGCTCACACTGGATATTCCTCTTGTGTGCTACTTCATTTATATGCTTTCCCATTCTTTTTATGAGGGCTGTGAGGGAGAGGGGTAGCGTTTGACAACAGGCTGCTGCTTTGCAGAATAAATGAGCTTAATTCCTGGTGCAATTATTGCCATTCATTTTATCCCATTTGAAGCTTTAAGGGATATAATAATTGCCTTTGAAGATGTTATGATCGGGAAAGAGGGAGTATGTCAGGGCTGAGGACGTGAGCTGGAGGATGCTGCATTCCATAGCTGAGACACACATCCTCCTAGAGTTAAGGAAAGAGAGACATCATCAGAAATGGAGCTGTTGTTTGAGACTGGCCCTAATGACTAGAAATAATAGAGGAAACTTAAAGGATTTCTACGTGGAGGGACAGTGTGAAGACATAGGGAAATGGACCATAAGTTATGTCTCTGTGGAGGAATCTTAATGCCAGGATACCAAGAAAGACAGGTCCCTGCCACAGGGCAGACCTTGATCCTTGGTAGTAAGAGGGATAAGACTCAGTGTGTTGAGCTACTGGAGACTGGAGAGGCATTTATGGAAGAAAGTCATGATTGCAATGTATGTGAGAAACATCAGTCTGACTTCAGTGGGAAGATGTCAAGTTACTGGGGAGAGCAAGGCAGAACAAAGTGAGAAGAGGGATGCGTGAAAGGTCCCTTCCAGGAGCCTTCAGAGGACCTGGTGACCCACACTGGATGGATGGGGGAGAAGATCAAAGTTCCGTCTCTGGGTAATAGTTGCAGTGTCGTGTCGGGGACACAGGTAATTCTGGACTGTGAGCCTTAGTCAGTGCAGGCTGCTGTGACTGTTCCCGTGGGTGACATGGCTTCTCAGCACTCACTTATGTCTCACCATTTTGGAAGTGAGAAGCCCGACATGGGGTGCAGCGGAACTGGGTGGGTGAGGGCCGTTTCCCACTGTACTGGCCTCTTTCTGCACCTTCCCATGGCACAGAGGCTAGAGAGCAGTTTCAAAGATCCTGTCACTTCTCCATAGCTCTGCCCCACCTTCCAAAGCCACATCTCTCCACACCCTTGCATCAGGGGGAGAGACAGGAAGTTGGGAGGACAGGAACAGACCCTCTGCAGAGGCACCTTATCAGAATACTGAATTGATGATGTAAATGAGGCATCCAGAGACACCAAAGGACAGTTAGAAACACAAGTGGCTTTGTAGCTGTTGACTGATTGCTCCCTGACCTCCCACCCCAGCCACTTCTATTCTCTACTGCTAGATTGGCTTCTGAGATTCTACCTGTGAGTGAGATCATGCAAGATGTGTATTTTGGTACTGACATCACACTGTACCCCATAAGTTTGTATAATTATCAGGAGGCAATTAAAGACAAAACCTTTAAAATATCACATAAAGGTTTCTCAAAAGAAAAGTAGGTGCAACTTTGTGAACAGAAAGCAGATCCTAAGATAGGAGATCCAGGAATCAACAACATCATATTGATACTTGTTATCCAAGGTGAAAGTGTCAAAAAACAGTAACAGTAACGGTCAATATTGCTGATAGCTTCCTATGTGTCAGGCAGAATTCTAAATACTTGAACATAACGCACTTACTCTGTACAAAGACCCAATGTCACCAACCCCACCTGGCTGACATACAGTCCAACCTATCCAGGCAGCTGCCACCTCAGTGACAGAACCAAGAAAGGCGGGAAGGCGACCACAAAGAAGCCCAAGGGAGGCGAGTAACTGAGTAGTCTGAGGAAGAGAAGCAAGAGGAAAACAAGCCAAGGCTGCAAAGGGATGAGCTTTGCTCTGTCATGCTGTTTCCTTCCGGAGTTTCCATGGAGGGAATGGTTCCCTCAAGAAAATTTAGTGTTGCAGGTTGGGGCCTCTGGGAAGTGAGATAAGAGAGTCACTTGTCAGGGACACAAAGATGCAGGAGACCAGTGGGAAAGCAGGTGCCATCGTCCACTCCTCACGGTGGGTTTGACCAGGATGATGATTTCAGAGAAAGGGTAAAGCCTGGCCAGTCACTGGACATATTTTTGATGATTGGGCTTATAGGATTTTTTCATGTGGCACAAATGCTGTGATCACAGCAACTCTGTAAAGCGTCAGGTTTTTTCTTTTATACTTTTTGCAAATGTGATACTTCTGAGGCACTGTCAGGATAAAAACCATGCTAGGCTTAAATTCTTCTTTGGGAAAACTGTAGTTGTAGGGATGTCATGGGATCTGATTAAAGCAAATCTTTTGAATGATCCAAGAAAAGAATCATTACAAAAAGCGTATCAGCTAGAGGTTTAGCTCACCTGCGTAAGTACCTGCTTGGCAAACTTGAGGTCCTGAGTTCAATCCCTGATACCAAAAAAAAGAAAAAAAAATTGTACAAGACCTGCTACACTGCATCTGAAATGTTTGGCACACATATTTTATACTCACACACATGGTTACACTAGGAGACTCTTGACCTGTCTTCCCAAAAATACACACAGATCTCTGCAAGAAAGTAATATTTGATAAAATACCTTTGTTATGTTAATTAGAGAAGGAGACGGAAATAGCCATCACTGAGGAAGACCAGTGGACAGCTTACAGCATGAAAACACCCCAACAGCGGGCTGCTTTCCGAATAGACATTTATGAATTCTCAGCATCTGGAGATCCCACACTTAGCCTACAACAAACATACATAATGGATGAGGCTTTCTTGCACCTCGTGATCTTTTAATAATGCAGAAATACCAAAATCCTGGTCATAGGTAAATGATCTGTCAAGCATACTGAGGAGAAAGTTCAGTCACATCAACACCATGTCACACCCAGCTTCAGGTTAGAATCTTGGGACTGGTGCACTCGAAAAGGCCTTTCATAGCCAAACCCTGCCTCCCTAACAGGCTGCCTGCCAACTTCCTGTCACCTCTGTCCATCACCCCACTTCTCTTATTACCCTCCCCATGTACCCTAGCTTTGGCATCACCCCCACCAAGCCTCTCTTCTCCCTCCAGGGTCCCCCTACTCCTGCCCCAGACCCTCCTAAATCAGCATTCCTTATTCAGCACAGACAGGAGTTGGTTTGAGACCTTTGGGTCCCCTCTAAATGTTCTTACATATTGAAGGGTTTCTTTAGAGCCACCTGTGTGATGTTATGTGATCAAGGTTAAAAATTATTAAAAGTACTTTCATAATCTTTTTTGGAACTTCGATGCTATTTGTCTTAATTACTTTTCTTATTAGTGACACAAAATACCTGATGCTCCAAGGGAGAGGAAAGGTTTGTTGTTGCTACAGTCTGTTTTAGTCCATTGTTGGCTGACTCCACGGCAGGCTGACATGGCAGAGGGCATCACAGAGGAGAAATAGTCCATGGCAGGCTGAAGGCAGGAGAGTGAAGAGGTGGCAGCAGGCTTGCTTTATTTCTGTCTTTTTGTAGCCATCTAGGCTTCCTGTCCTTTGGATGGTGCCACCTGCATCCAGGACAGGCCTTCTCATTACCCACACCCAGCACTGTGCCAGACCAATTTAGGAATCACACACCTTGATGCCAGCATCGCACTCCCTGGATCCAGCTTGCTCTGAAAGCCCCACCTATGCCCGCATGAGGCTTTGTTGGGACATCTAGATACAAACTATGACACTACTAAAGACAAACTTTTCTACCTCCTCAACTCACCCATTGCTCCAACAGCTATGGTGATGACCGCTCCTCCACCTCAACACTAGACGGAGAGGGCAATTCCGATACTTCATTCCCAGGACCACTTCTTTCTTGAGCTGGGTGTCTCATGTGCAACTCATAACTATTTCAGCTTCTGCACCACAGACGGCCCAATGGAAAGCTGCCTGTGTCTTTATTTCTACCCACTTCATTTGCCCATTCTCTAACATTGAGTACCCCCAGTTCACTAACAGTTCATCGGCTCAGATGTATTCTGGTGGCCTTCACAACATGCCACACTGTCTGTCATTCCGAGCAGATGTATTTAGGTTTCCCCTTCGGTGGCAGTTGCTTCATGGCCAATCCAGCTGTGACTATACTCCCTCATGTGTCAGTGACTACACTTGTCTGCCTCCCACCTCTGTCACACAAGGTGCAAAGAAGCTGCCCTGGATTCTTCAGAAAACTCCCCTGCCCCCTGACTTCCAGGCACAAACATTCCTCGGCCTTGCCCGTGTCTCCGAGGAACTTACTTCTCCCCTGAAATCTCCTGTTCACTGCAGCAGGCTTCACTGATTTCCATAGTGGATGAGGACCTCAAATGAACATGTCCTCTGCTTTCAGTTCCTGGCTATTGTTTTGTTATGAAAAAGCCCATAGAATACTGATCATGTCTGAGCAGTCTTCTCCTGCAATGCATATCTTGCTTCTCTACAGTCCATTTCCCACTTCCCAACTCATGATGTTTTACACAGAAATTCTCCCAAGTATTTCCCTTTTCCCCGAAGTCCCTGGCTACACCTCAGGCCCCCTCCTTATTTAGCAGTAATCTTACTTCTTGATAGCAGCTCCCTCCTCTTTGGTCTGTAACAGCTCCAAACCTTGGACTTCAGCTCTTCTCACTTGTTCTAGACTCCAGTGTAAAAAGCCATTTCCTTGGGCTGGGCATTTAGCTCAGTGGCATAAGTGCCTGCCTGCTAAGCATGAGGTTGTGAGTCTGATCCCTGGTA